TTTATGTATCTGGATTGGATCTAGATATATCAAAAATAGATAAAAATAATAATATTTGTTTTTAAAAAAATTAATTATAAAGTCACTTCATGATTGGTTGCCTAATATGAAAGAAAATTGTTAACAAATAAAATTTCACAAAATAAAAACTTTAGAAATTTATTTTCTAAAATTTCATTTGTAAACACTTTTCCTCCAGATTAGGCAACCAATCGTGGAGTGATTTTTTAATCAATGTGTGGTTGAAAAAAAATTAAATATAAACTATCACAATAAGATTTATATTGATTTTTACTAATTTTGTTCACTCTAAAAATTCAAAAACTTTATACCTAGGATATGGGTATTCACACCTTAACTCACAATACCTAGAATCCTGATCCGGAAGCTCTAGATACTTTAATTTTCGGAGATCTCGGATATTTTGTCGAGTCCTATTTGTTAATGCCAACAAAAAGTACTCTCTATATACGAAAGTTCAAAAAAATTTAATTTATCTTTGTGGTTAGGTGCTTACATGTGTTTATCTTAAACTTAAATTCATGTCGTAACAAAATAATTATAACGGTATTTCGCTCGAAATATTTTGATTTTGGAAATTTTTTTGATCAGTATATTTGAAATGAGAATAGATTGTGAATGAATAATTATAATAGTTAATGAATTTTTTTAAGAAAAGCCAATCGCTTGCCTTATATATTCACAGAGTTACATGATATCATTATGTTAGTTTCATTCATGTCTTTTTAAATTTTTAAAGTGTAATATTGAGTTGATAAGGTATTTTGTTTTTTTTGATATTTCATTTAAGTTGATAAGTTCTACTAGAGTAGTACTTTTGCATTTTCTATGTTAGATAATAAATAACAATGTTGGTTTTACATCTCAATGTGCCGATGGACATATAGTTGTATGAAACAAGCAATCATGTAAACATCCATATGATACAGACAAAAACCGAAAATTCAATGAAAAAAAAAAACGTAACAACTTTTTAATGAGAAAATTACCTCAAGCTATAGTACTCAGGAGATCTATTTTGAAAGAGAGAAATAAAAATAAATTTTTTTTTTGTGTAAACTACTCATTTAATTTACAGTCGCAAATTTCTAGTTCAATTTATCGGCTAACCCATATTCTTTGTTTACCTTAGCTAATGAGAGATGTTCTCCGGTGCAAAAAGCATGACGCGGGGAAACATCAAATCGGTTATGGTCATACAATACAGCCATGCACCCCCATGTTTTATGCTTAACTATATTATGGGGTTATATTGTATTACTATGATTACTTGATGTTCCCTCGTGTCAAACTTTTTACGCGAAAGAACATCTCTCCACTAGTTGAGCTAAACATGGACTGTGGATTAGCAAATGAATTGGATAGGAAATTCGACAAATGTAACCAAGTAGTTTACCAAATTTGTTTTGTCTCTTTATTTGTATATTACCATGATACCTCACATGGGTGCTATATGTTGAGGTAATTTCTCATCTTGATATTGTTACGCTTTGACTCTCTTTTATCTGCCAACCCATAGTCCAGGCTTAGCAGCTCGGCTAATGGTTAATTGTTCTTCAGTGCAAAAAGCATGAAGTGGGGGAGCATCAAACTGTTATGGTCATATAATATAGCCAATTTGTTGTTCATGAATAACTATATTGTGGGGCTATATTATATAATTATAATAATTTGGCGTTCTCTCGTGTCATGCTTTTTACGCTAAAGAACATCTTTCCTAGCCGAGTTAAACATGGACTATGGGTTGACCTATGAGCTAAACGAGAAATTCCCAAATTTTGTACTATAATTTGAGGTAATTTTTTTTGTCTCGATATTGTTTAAGCTTTGACTCTTGTAGAAACTAGAGAATGATTTGGGGGAAAACTCTTTATTATATGTTATTGATCTCAATAGAATTAATACACAATATATAGAGAGGCTAACTTATGTTTAACCTAATTAGAATAGGAAATAGATAAACATGAATAAGTAAATATTCCAAATCTCTTAATCCTTATCACAATAGGATATCTAGAATATTCTTTGACTTCGGCTTTACGGGCTTCACGGGTTTGGTCCGCTGTCTTGCTTCCCAAGTTACCTCAATACTTCCCCGCACGACAAACGTGGTACGCAAAACGCAAACTTTGCAATCACAAAGCGGAACACGTATGTCGTGGACAATATGTTGAGGACGGACAAATCATGTCAACAAACGCCTCAGGGTAAAAACTTCAATCTTGAAAATAGGGGTGGAACTTCAGCTCGTCTTCGGTCTTGGTAAAAAGGGAATACATCCCGTGGACGCAAATTATGCTGCTCCACAAACAATCATCCTTATCTTGGATGGTCCATAACTCGGACTAAACATGACCTAAAAACATGAGCGTTCCAATAAACTATACTAATGGTTAAACTATAACCAAACTCCTCCGTAATGGTAAAACTATTACCAAACTCAAAATACTTAACAAACTTGAGAAATTCTAAAACTTAAGAATCATATCCCAAAAACCTAACCTGTGAAAACCCAAAAAATTATAATCATAAATTTTGTAGAAGAAAACTCTCCCAATAATTATGCCTCTTGTAACAAATAAAAGAAACTCATTTAAAAGAGAAACCCCAAATAAACTAAATAAACTTGAAAACCATAAAAGCAAAACGTAAACTAACTAAAAACACCAACGATTTTTTTTTTTTTAATTAATAAATATGTTTAAACACCTAACCCCACGTTTTCATCATCTTCATCGGCTTCCTCGCCGTCTTCAACGTCGTCACCTCCAGTGAGTTTCTCCATGATCTCTTTTGAAGATGAGATCACAAAGTGTCTAATGCGGAAGCGTTTTAACTTTGATCCACAAGGATCGACTGCTCTGATACCATGTAGAAACTAGAGAATGATTTGGGGGAAAACTCTTTATTATATGTTATTGATCTCAATAGAATTAATACACAATATATAGAGAGGCTAACTTATGTTTAACCTAATTAGAATAGGAAATAGATAAACATGAATAAGTAAATATTCCAAATCTCTTAATCCTTATCACAATAGGATATCTAGAATATTCTTTGACTTCGGCTTTACGGGCTTCACGGGTTTGGTCCGCTGTCTTGCTTCCCAAGTTACCTCAATAACTCTCTTTGTAAGTTATAAATAAAAATATAAGAAAGTTTTTGTAAACTACTCAGTTACACATGGTGTGCTTTCCGTTCAATTCATAGGGCAACCTATAGTCTAGACTTGACAATTATAGAACCATAATAACTCGATATTCTCTCCAATCATATTTTTTGCATGGACATTTTAACCCATAGTCCATGTTTAGCTTGGCTAATGGAAATATGTAATCCGGTGTAAAAGATACGATGGGTGGGATTGTCACGGTTAATATGGTCATATAATACAGCCAATAAAAGATTGAATTATGGGTTGGATGATGAACTGAACCCATAAAGTTCACAAAGTTTGCTTTTGTATTCTGTTTGTAATTTAGAAAGGTACCTCTCCTGGGTACTATACTACTATTGCCTGAGGTAGGTTCTTATCTCAATGTTACGCCTTCACTCTCTACTCACATCATTCTCGGTTATTGATTTGTATCATTTGCATGTTTGTTAAGATAATGCCATGTATTCATGCCAATGCCTCATTGTTTCTATTTTTGTTAGTTTTCGACCGTTCTAGTATATGTGATGATAAGGTGGTCAATTTTCAAGAAGAGAAAGATAGTGATATAAATGTAGTTCAACGTTTCATCGATAGGTCGAGGTTTATTGTATATATATTGCTCCGCAAGTGCTCAAATTCTCTTGCAATCTAGCCAAACTCAAACAGTATAGCACACTAAGACTGGACTGCGGATGAAGAATATTCAGAAATCGAGTGAACGAGAAGAACAGCCTAAAGATACATTCATGTTGATTCCGTCGTATAAGTTGAGTGGTAATCACATGAAGATACAAATTGATATGGCGATGAAGATGGCTGTATTCAAATATGAGATATGTTTGTTTTTGATTTTATATATATAGTCGGTTGATTTCTTGAAAATTGTATGTTTTATAATTTTATAACATGTAAAATATTAATTGTAATACCATATTAAGTTATATACCATATGGGTTATGTATATGGCTGATTTTGGGGGAAAATGTTGCATTATAAATATGTTTGCCGAAGAACGTAAGTCGTTTTATTTACTTGCACCTGTGTGAGAGGAATCCGAGAATGGGGCAAACGGAGAAAAAAAACTTATTAGAGAGAATCTTAGCAAAATCCCAAGAAGAAGAAGCAACCTAAATCTTGTTCATGAATTCAAGATTTCGGTCTTTGTTTGTTCCTACCATACTCGATTAATCAAACTAAGATCTTTGAACGAAACGGAAAAAATTCTCCGAAACAATTACAATTTCAAAAAGGGAAAAAAAAAAAAGAGAGAGGCAATTTGTTTAAACTGTCATATTTGGTTTAAAAATAGTTGCCAAGAATTGGTTTAGCTTATTAAGAACTCGAGAAGATTTTTAATGAAATTCATTTTTGGATGCAAATAATACATTAAGTGGCTAGGGTGTCATCAGAAGAATGATATTGTTTAAATTTATATCTGCATAACATTTTGTATAAACTTTTCGCTTAAAATTTGTTAAAGAAAAAATATCAACAATATGTGACCACATTCTGCCACTTCTAATATACTTGGTAAGATAGGAGTTCATTTTCAATGTTAGTGGATGGTTTTTGCAATTAAAGAATGTTTTGGGTGTCACATAAACGCTTAATCCAACTAAAATCGACTAGGATCCATTTCGCGTTTAAAACGGTAAGTGTTGAATCCGTCCGCTTAATGTCTTAACACTTTCTTAAACATTGTTGTATATACCACAACCAAAAGGCTTTTGAAGATATTTAACGCAGCTAGATCACTCCCAAAAGGCTCTTAATGTCTTAACACTTTTAAGCAAAGCTAAATCACTCCTAAATATAACGTTAATACCATTATACATATCCCTTTGGCTTATACATAAGCAAACACTAGAATTAACTTTTGGTCGATCAATCGATAGTGACCATATAATGATAACATATCAGAAATGGTTTGTGAAACTCTCACTGTACATAATAGAGTTATGAAGCTGATGCAACCAAATTAAGAATCCACATTCAAAAAAAAAAGTAAAAACAAATAAAGAAAGCTCATAGCTTCAAGGTTAGATCTGGAAGAGAACTCTCCATATCCATCGCTTGCTTGACATCCAAGAAATCCATTTTTCTTTCACCTAAATTATCATTACCCGCTTCAACCACAACCGCCTCCGTCGCTTGCCTGAAACTCCCTGGCCAGAGCATCTCGGCCTCGTCGTCCTCAACGTAGAAAGGTATACAATTACCGAAATATCCCTGGTTGAACCTGGCAATGTTTCTAATAATCGTTTCTGGTGTCTGCCTTGTCATGCCGACGTCGTGGGACGAGGCATGTGCCCGAATTCCCAAAGTCCTGAACGATGTCATATTACCGTTTCCGCTTCCATGAAGTGGCAAACACGAGAGTGCGGCTGCTGTGGCAGCAGCCGCGTAGTTGCTATTGGATCCTCTACCGGGGAAGACCCCAGCGAGACCCATACGCATAGCGCGTTTGGCGAGTGTTCTCTCTCGTTTATGAGCATTTTGGTGACCACCAAGGGCTTGAGAGCTATAGAACTTCCTTTGGCAGTAGTTACAAGAAAAGACTCGCTTCGATACAGAGAGTTGTTGTTGTTGCTGCTGTTCCGGGTTGCTACTCTCGCTAGTGCTCGAAAGTGGCAACGTCAAAGACGATGATTCAAGATCAAGGTTGTTGTTGTTGTTGTTATTGAAAGAGAGGCTAAGATTCAGCGAGATTGGTTTGTAATGTTCTCCAACCGGAGACAAGTTTGAGGCCACTTGGCTGCTGCTACTGTCCGATGAAGCTTCAACTTCGAGGTCTAATATTGGTCTCATGATTTCTGGCAGAAACTTAACGTTGTTTTTTCTTTTTCTGCAATGATTTTTTATTGAAGAGAATGTTAGAATTATTTAGATCATTATTTGTATAACCATATCTATGAGAAGTATATAGAAAAGGAATAATTTAAAGAAATTGGATTGTTTCTGACCAAACAAAGTCGATAATGCATAGAAAATATTCTAACAAAAATAATTATTATTTCAGAAAAAAGATAGTGGAGGAAACATTGGTGTGACCATAAATGGTCCTAACGAGTCAATGAGTAGACAACATCAGAAGTGCCAAATTTAGTACTGACACATCCATCCATCAACCAGTCAACTCTAACTAATTAAATTGTTCCATTTCTCACTAAACTAAATTGATTTCCAAATAATTTCTAGTTCCTTTTATCATCTACCAACTAAGTTCAATTTTAATTGAATTTAACTTCAAATTATGATATTAAGGCAGAAATAACACAAAAAAAATTATATCACAATTCACAAACATTTTACTTCATTTAATTGATTTTGCTTCCATTAACAATGAGAACCCTACAAAGAAAAAAAAAACAGAAATATACACAAAGCCACAAACAAACAAAAAACCCGACAAATAAAACACATACACACAAAGGAACAAACAAAAAACAGACAAACATATATAGCGAAAAGATCACCGACAGCAAAATCAATATACTTACGAAGCAGATCCATAAATTAAATAATTATCTCCTCCAAGAAAATATATTTATCATTATAATTTTTAGGGTATCCAATGTTTTTGAGTAAAACGAAAAAGAGGAAAAAAAAGAAGTTGAAACTTAAGTTGCTGACACATAAATGGCAATAAAATATGTGACCCACTCATACCTAATATAAAAGTTCTATAACCATGCTAATAATTGTTGATCAATCATCAAAACTTGAATCTTGAGACAGAATTATCAATTCAAGAACATAGAAAATGAAAGTATTAGATGTCCAAAGAAAACCAAGGAAGAAGATGATGAATATTCATACCTTAGTTAGGATGATGATGAGGAGACAAAGGTTTGGAATTTGAGAGAAGAACTAGGAGTTATGAACAGATTTGAGTCCATCGATATCGAGGTCATTTTTGGGGACTTAGAAAGAAAGAGAAGAAGTGAGAGATATGAGAGAGAGAAGTGAGTGATATGTTTGGTTTGGGAGCACAAAAGAGGAGAGAGTGGATTGTGTATAGTGTAAGATGATGTTTTATTATGGGAAAAGCTAAGGTTGCTGTGAGTGGGAGTGGAGGGGACAATGGTGGGACGTCTCACACTTAAGTCAGACCACAGTTTTTTTTTTTTAATTATTTTCTTCGGATAATTTTATTTATTTAAAATATATATATATATATATCTATATATATGTATATATATATATATATATATATTAATATATGTGTGATGGTCTAATTGGTTTCATACTCAGGGTCCATAAGAATTACTCTATTAATTAAAATTCTGTTAAAGGTGATGGCCAATTGAACCAGTTAGATGAGTTGCTTTTAGTATTATTGGATCTGAGTTCAAATCTAAGAGAAATGATTTGTAATATATGCATTTATCACAAATATTATCAAAAGTTGGTATTGTGCTCAAAAGGATTACGGCAAACCGAAAATTTGGAGTTTCTCATTACAAAAATGGTAAAATGTGAGTAAATTTCAAATCCAATATAAATGATTTATTATCTATCAATTCATCACAAATTAAAGGAGTACATAAAAATTTTGAGCTTTTGAATTGTAAAAATGCCCAAAATTTTTGGTAATTTTCAAAGCTAACAGAATTAAATTTGGGAGGAAAAAACAATAAATCCTTCACAAATAAATTTCGACATCCACGTTTACCATGTAGAAGTTGTTAAAATTTATTATGGATTCTTAACATTTGATAGGATATTAATTATAAATTAGTTTTAATTAGAAAGTGTTATTCAAGTATATATAATACACACACAAAAAATATATATATATAACATCAAATTTTAGGATCTATTAATCATGATTTACAAATATACAATCCAATAACACTTGATTTTACAGCTTCATTTATAATCATTAACTAGATTTTAAGCCCAGGTACACCGCGGGATGATTTATTTTTTAAAATTAGTATATATAAAACTTTGCAAATTGTATCTCCTTATTTTATAGTTTAGAATTGTTATTAAGTAACGGTATACCACGAGTTCACAGGACAATTGCTAATAAACTAAGGATTTAACTTGTATTAAAGCGGCATGTTAATGATATTTCAAAATTTTATAAATATTGATTCAAACCCGTCCGCCATATAAATCCGTTCCGAAATATAACCCATCCGGTAATTTCTTAACTTGTCCCGTGATTTGTTTTCTAAAAGTAGTAATTTTAAAATTTTAACAATTATTTATTATATATAAAAGTTTGCAAATTATATCATTCTCTATGACATTTATACTATTTTATAGTTTACAATTGTTATTAAGTAACATTATACCATGGAACAATTTTTGGTTTTATACACTCTTTTCTAAATGAGACTGCTTTGATATGCCTAATATTAGTGGTATTAAAAAAAAAATTAAGAATTTAATCCGTATTGAAGTGGCGGATTAATGATATTTTAATTTTTTATTATTGTTGATTCAAAAACCTGTCCCGCCAAATCCGCCCCGCCAAAAAATCTATTTATTTTATTACCGTTGATCTTATTTATGATTCTGAATCATTGTCTAAATATTTTACTCGATGTTGAACGTGGAACACACATTTTTCGTCAATTGGATAATATATGTCCGTTTTTTAAACTTCGAATCACGGTATATGCAGAAAAAAAATTGATCTTTTTTACTTTGTACTTCATCTGTTTCAAAAAATAAGTCGTTTTAAGGAAAAATCCGCCGATTTAGAAGATCTACTTTTTAAAAGTTAAGCCAATCATAAAAAATACTGCATAATATAAATAATCATAAAATATTAAAGTAATATATAATTTGCATAGAAACTCGAAAACGACTTATATTGTGAAACAAAAACCTTAATCTAAAACGTCTTATATCATGAAATGGAGGGAGTATATTATATGATGATTCAAAACAGTTAAAAACAAATCAAACAAAGATGAGAGGAGAATCATAATTCTAAATCTTAATCAAATCTTCTAAATATCTAAATTATTAAATATGGAATATCCGGTGTATGAGTTGGGTTAAATATAACCCGACCCAGCAAACTTTTCATGACCAAAATTTGTAAACGGGTCGGATACCCATTGTATCCAAATGCATTTTGCCCCACCCGCTAAAAATGTACTTCAAAAATACTAGAATAGATTGAATAACAACGAATTGGAATTTGATTTAAATGTTTTAAATTCATGATTGAATAGCAATCCTTTGAACAGAAACATGGTGTTCACCCTAATTCTCTCAGGCACGTTTCACGAGGCGCCGACTGGCCTTTACTTCTTCAAGATGGCGATTCTCCTCTGGCGACTTCTCTGCGGTATGTTCTCCTGAGCAAGGACTCTCTTCTGGCGTATCCTCTTCACGGTTCTCAAAGATATCTGCGGTGGTTTTTTACCGGTAAATTTCGGCGTTTCCTTTTTTTTTTTTACTTTCTTCACGTCGACATCTACGTCTTCTCTGCCCGAGTTTGAAGGTTTCAGATCTCTTTCGGTGGTTGCTCGGAGCTCCTCTCCTCCTCCTCTAACGGTACTATTCGCCTCCCACGGTCTGTTGCTTCCTTCGAAGCCTCCTCCACCACCGGATCCGCCACAGCTAGCCTCCGGATCCACCTGACTCTCCGTTTGCGAGTCTCTCCCAAAGCTTTTGGCCTCTCTTCTTCGATCTCCTCACTCCCTTCACCATTTTGACACTTGCTCAGATTTTGGATCTGGGATCTCCGATGGTATCTCTGATGGCACTTTCTTCGGGTCCTCTCCATCCTTGCATTGAATCATTTTCCAGTGAATTTCTTGGCGTTGATATGCGATGGACTACTCTTATGTGCATGCTTTGTTGTCAGATCCAATTCGAGTGTATCTCATTAAGGTTTGCTTCTGACTCCTTGATGCTCCTTTGGCCTCCATTTACTAAGCTTAGTTGGTATTTTATATCTGATTTAGATAAAGACTTAACTAGCTATGTTCGATGGAAGTTTGATTCTTGTAATCTTTTCATATGGAAATTTGTCATTGATTTTGACGTTATTTCGGATGGAGTTTTGAATTTCTCGGATCACCTTAATCGTTGCGCCGGTTTACCTTGTATTGAGGTCCTTGTTAGACAAGTTCTAATATTGTATAATGCTAAGGGATTTGTCCCGATCATTAGCATTCACGTCTATATTTTTGTATATGCAATTTGGGAAGTAATGTCTCGTTAGGGCTGAGTCTACTCATCTTGGCACTCATTGCCAGCTTTTCTTCCCAACATCCTCTCTTGATTTGAGTAGTTTGGATGATCAAACGTCTTCGGTATTGCAAGGATCTTCCTCCTGGTCGATAGTTTCCTTTGCTTTTGTTGCAAAGTTTGGAGCCCTTTGGATTGCAGTGGATGCAGTTTCACATGAAGCTCTTGGGATCATTGTTTTTCGATCTACTTTGGTTTTATTTGTTGAAGTGTATCTCAAATCTACCCTTAGTTTACCTTCTCTTGGTGAATTTATTGCACTTCTTACATTATTATCTTGTATTTCTTTTTTCGGATGTCTGTAATTTTTTCTTAGATTTTGTTTGAGACTTAAACTTAATGAAAATTATCAGTTTCATAAAAAAAAAAGAATAACAATCCTTTTAAAAAAAAGAACCGGTATTATTTATGAAAAAGAAACAAAGAAATTCCTATGCATTAGAAGATGTTAGGTTAACCGATTATACGAGTTTAACCAATTAGTCAAACGTCTAGTTGCTTAGTGGATCTCGACGTATAGCTGATTATGTGATACTGAGAGCATAACCGATGATTAACTATACTAGATGTCTAATCAACTAATTAGCTAATACAAATCATTATTGATTTTAATTTTTGAAAAATCAAAGAATGTAGACCATAATTGTTAAGCA